ATGCTACCAGACCTCAGACTATACTTTAAATTGATAGTGATCAGAATAGCATGGTACTGGCACAAAAACAGAGGTAGATGTATGGAACAGAATAGAGAACCAAGAGATGAACCCAGCTACTTACCAGTATTTGATCTTTGACAAGCCATTTAAAAACATTCAGTGGGGAAAAGATTCCCTATTTAACAAATGGTACTGGGTGAACTGGCTGGCAACCTGTAGAAGACTGAAACTGGACCCACACCTCTCACCATTAACTAAAGTAGACTCTCACGGATTAATGACTTAAACTTAAGACATGAAACTATAAAAATACTAGAAGAAAGTACAGGGAAAACTTTTGAAGAAATAGGCCTGGGAGAATATTTTATGAGGAGGATCCCCCAGGGCAATTAAAGCAGCATCAAAAATACGTACACTACTGGGACCTGATCAGACAAAAAAGCTTCTGCACAGCCAAGAACACAGTAAGTAAAGCAAGCAGGCAGGCCTCAAAATGGGGGAGAATATATTTGCAGGTTATGTCTCTGACAAAGGTTTAACAACCAGAATCCACAGAGAACTCAAACATATTAGCAAGAAAAGAACAAGTGATCCCATCTCAGGGTAGGCAAGGGACTTGAAGAGAAACTTCTCTGAAGAAGACAGGTGTACGACCTACAGACATATGAAAAAATGCTCATCATCCTTAATCATCAGAGAAATGCAAATCAAAACCACTTGGAGATATCATCTTACCCCCAGTAAGATTATCACCCCTACATCACAAAATCCCCAAACCAGAGATGTTGGTGTGGATGTGGCGAAAAGTGAACACTTCTGCACTGCTGGTGGGAATGCAAACTAGTATGTTTCTTTTGGAAAGATGTTTGGAGAACATTTAGAGATCTAAACATAGACCTGCCATTTGATCCTACAATTCCTCTACTAGGTATATGTTCAGAAGACCAAAAATCACATTATAACAAAGATATTTGTACTAGAATGTTCATTGCAGTCCAATTCATAATTGCTAAGTTATGGAAGAAGCCCAAGTGCCCATTGACCCATGAATGGATTAATAAATTGTGGTATATGTACACCATGGAATATTATGCAGCCTTAAAGCAAGATGTAGACTTTACCTCTTACATATTTACATGGGTGGAGCTGGAACATATTCTTCTTAGCAAAGTATCTCAAGAATGGAAGAAAAATCATCCAATGTACTCAGCCCTACTATGAAACTATAGCCCAATTATAGCCCAAGAATATGGGGAAGGGAGAGAGGGAGGGGAGGGGAGTGGGGAGGATGGGTGGAGGGAGGATGATTAGTGGGACCACAGCTATGGTCAATCTTACAAGGGTACATGTGAATCTTTCTAAATGTAGAATACAAATATCTTAACACAATAACTAAGAAAATGCCATGAAGGCTATGTTAACCAGTTTGATGAAAACATTTCAAATTGTATATAAAACTAGCACATTGTACCCCATGATTGCATTAATGTACACAGCTAGGATTTAACAAAAAGAAAAAAAAAACAAAGACCAAAGAACTTTTTTACTCCAAATAGCAGTTAATTGCTATTTAACCTTTCTTGCCCCTTGAGGGTGCTGCTCTAGTGGTTCTGAGACATCCTCCTGTTCTCTCTCACCCCGGCATGCTAGAGACCCTTGTCCCAGGATCCTGGAGGTGAATAGAAATGATGTCCCCTCAGGACCCTCTGAATCAGCCAGCACACTGCACACAGCTTTGCACGCAGCTCTCCCCGCTCTGGGCTGCAGCCACTTAGTGAAACAACAGAAACTTCCTGAGATCTGAGGGGCAGAGCTGGTGCAGTGGGCACGAGAAGCTGGGGAGGAAGCACATGAGGTCAAGGGTAGGTGCAGTGTGTGGAAAGAACATGACTTTGCCTGGTTTGACAGAGAGCACCTCATAGAACTGGGGCCCCTCACTGAGTTCCTAGAGCTTGAGCGCCTGCACTGTGGTGGGGGGCAGAAATGCCAGGGTGCTGTCCTCACCTTTGACCAGTCCCCTGTTTTCCACTCGTAGCAGCCCGAGTAGTCCTCACACGCCTCCTCTGCTCTTGGCCTCATGGAGGCATCACATTTCCCTTGGGAGTTGGTGCATGTGACTGTCCGTTTCCGTGTCCCTTTACCACAGCTGGCAGAACACTGTAAGACACCGTTGGAATACTTAATCCAGTCCAATTTGATTCAAGTCTATGAACACCTATTAAATCCCTACCATGTGCCACACCTGGTGTAAAGATGCGAAGATGAGGACCTCAGAAGGCTCACAGTCTGCAGGTCCCATGTCCTCAGAGAGACCAGTGTTAAGGGAGGGACGCAGGAGTCAGGAGTGGAAAGAGGTGGGGCATGCAGAAGGTCAAATGAAGGGAGCAGAATTCCGTGGCTGTTTTTCAGACCCAAAAGTCCAGTGTAGTGCATTAATTCAAAGGGCAATTGCTGGGGGGAGGGGAGGGGACTCATAAGTGCAGGGGAGCCAGGGACCAGATGGAGCAAGGCAAGGCCCCCAAAGCAGGTCTGAGGTCTGAGCCTCTGGCTCCTTTGAGCTGTGCACCTGCTCTGCCTGGGCCAGCTTGGGATAAAGGCCCTGACTTGGGATGGAGAAGGAGGAGCAGACAGAAAATGAAGCTCCAGGTAACTCCTCATAAGGCAGGTGGAAAGCCATGTACAGCGAATGTTTTAATGTGAACACCAAGAACGGTAGCAAAGGAATGTTCCATTGGCCATTTACTTACTTCCTGGGAGACCTGGCAAGGGACAGGGGGAGGGCCTGAGGGGTGATGAATGATGTGCAAACCTCTAGGAGTTCGGGGTTCCCATGCCCTCAGGCAGCATGAGGGAGTGACAAGAGACAGAAGAGAGGGCACATTGCCTGCAGCCTGCCCCATAGAAGAGTTTGGGGAGGGACAGTGCCTAGGGTAGAAAGAGTGCTTCCTAGCTCCAAAACCAAAGGAGAAGGAAGACCAGGAAGAGCCTCCTTGTGGCATTGGGGAGGACAAACCTGACAAGTGTGTGGGAAGCCAGGCTAGGGGAGCCCACCCTCTGACATGCTGCGTGTGGACCAGCAGGTGACTTCCCCATAGATGCAGACAGTAATTCAGGGAGACAGTGGGCTGAGGGTGGGATTCTGCCAAGGAGATTCATACTTGGTCAGGTTACAAAAAATATGGCAGTGACAGCTGTGACTCAGAGTTATAACAAACTCAACTTTTAAAAAAATTTCTGCTGTGTCCACTGAAAAACATATGCAAAGGACAAATACTATTCTTGATATTTCTGTCATTAACATCTGTCCAAAAATAGTATTGAGCTTTCTCTTTCCTATGAATCCAATTCAGCTCTCTGTCTCAACGTCCTGTGGGGTTTCTTTTCAAGACTAATTTAGACTGGTTTGTGTTAGAAAAAACATACACTTTGGAACTGCCTGGGGGTTCCTGGGGGAGTTGCCAGAGCAGACATACTTCTTAGGTCCTGTAGGCAGGGCAAAGGGTGGCTTTCGAGGGACTTTGCTCTGCTCTCAAGCCTTTCTTTTTCTTGTACTTCAAGCACTGAGTGTCCTGCCCATTTCTGGCCAACAGACCCCTTATCTTGAAGCCTTCATCCTTGAGGATGGGGGTGCTGCTGACTGATACACCTCTGAGGGGCTGCAGGTGGGGCTGTGTTCAGTTTCTCTCTTTGGTTCCCATCAGGGATGGGGCCTGGGAGCTGAGGGCAAGAGGGACTCCTTGCCTTTCCTTCCTTCTAAATATGTGTATTTAATTCTGCTTCTAATAAAGCCAGGAAGAAGCTGGGGGTGAGGAACACAGTGAGTGACCCTCCCCCTTTACACAGTGATGGCTGAGTAAAAGCCATCAGTAAAAATTTGCCCATGAGACATGAAACTCAAAAGAACAAAGGCTCTTGGGGTTTCAGCAGGTGGTGAAGCAGCAGAAATACCATTTTTGTGACCTTCTCATGAGAGGATGATTTGATTCCAAGTTGAATGGTTAGAGGAAGCATTTGGTTCAAGCTGGGGCTGAGCCAGAATTAGACTGATGGTGTGGATACTAGTTCAGGACTAGGATTAGGTGTGTACAGAGGCAAAGACATACAAAAATTTCTTTAAATCTTACTCCGATCATCTCACATTTTCCAAACATCACACTCTTCAGTGTTACAATGATAAATGATGACGTCAGTCTTGGTAGGAGGTATTTTTTTCCCCCCTAAGAGTTTCTGAGTGGAAAATGTATGGTGTTGACGTGGTTAAAGCATGAATCTTGCTTAGATCAAGAACCAGACCCTGGAGATCCTATGGCTCACCTGGGAAAAGGAAAGCAGGGGGACGGAATGCCTGTCTCTCTCCTTCCAGAAAAATAAAGTCTCTTGAATGTGAAACTTATAAACCTAAGTACATACAAAGAAAAAATAAACCTAACAGCAAATTTGAAAACTCTCCTCTTTTCCTAAAATATCACAAGGGGTAAATCTGTCTGAAAATTAAACTCAGTTCGAGAGCGACCAATGATAAAATTTTGTTCATTAAAAATGGGCTGACTACTGTTTTATTTAAAATAATTCCAACTGTTGGGCAATAAAATACAACTTTTTTTTAAATTTAAATTTTTTATTTTCTCGAAACAGTCTTACTCTGTCACCCTGGGTAGAGTGCATCACAGCTCACAGCAACCTCAAACTTCTGGGCTCAAGTAATCCTGCCTCAGCCTCCCAAGTAGTTGGGACTATAGCTGCCCACCACAATGCCCAGCTAGTTTTTCTATTTTTAGTAGAGATGGGGGTCTCACTCTTGCTCAGGTAGGTCTTGAACTCCTGCGCTCAAGCAATCCACCTACCTTGGCTTCCCAGAGTGTGGAATTACAGGCATGAGCCATTGTGCCCACCCTATAGAATGGAACTTTTAATGTTCTCCACACTGAAGAGTGTCTTGGATTGAGCCTTTTTGAGTTCCCCTAGACTATGTTAGGTGGGAGACCTGAGGGAAGCGTGACCTTTATTCAGCTATTTTTTGTTGTTGAATAGGCAATCAAAGTCAAAATAGAAAAAAACAACCACATCAGCAATAACAAAAAAAACCAAAATAAAAAATCCATGCAAAGTCAATGCAAAGCCCAGAAGATGACACTATCAAAGACACAATCATCTTCCCAGGACCATCCTTCAAAACGCAGATGTTAGGTTTCATTGACCCCTTTTCAAAATGGTTTATGGCACGGGATTTGTAACTGTGACTTCTACACTAAAAGCTGTCCCCACTGGCATCCCACTCAGGCAGCCTACACACTGCTGTGGAGTTAAAGGGAAGCCTTGAGGCCTTCCCAACCTGACCATGTTGCAGTGCAGAAGTGTCCAGCAGAGAACGGAAATGTCAGTGGGAGTCCATCTGTCTAGCCACCTTTGTGTGACAACTTCTGTGGGAAATGAGATCAAATAGTACTTTCACTGTGGTGTCAACATATACAAACACGAACACATGGTGGGTACCAGACATATTCTTGCTTTTGTAGCCATGTTGTAATGTCACATTGAATTTGAGAATATGTCAACTAGAATCTAACTCTGAGCAGGCCTGTGGGTAGGTGAGGGCTGTGATGCGAGGGAACCTGTCCTAAACACCATGGGTGACAGGTGCTGTGTTGGGGTTCCTGTGGATGAGGCCTAGAAGCTCCGATGGTGATTTTAGCCCCAGCAGCAAACCCAGGCACCCACCTGTGACCACTCAGATGCCTCCCAGATGGACAGGCAGTCCTGACCTTCGCAGCTCTGCACCGGTGCTGGCCGGGGGCCTGCGCAGTAGATGGGCCGTGTGGCAATGTGTGTGCCATTCTGCAGTTGGTACACACAGGTCACCTCTCGGTGCTGGAAACCCTTCTCACAGGTTGCTGAGCAGGGGCTCCATGGGCCTGCCACCCACCTGCCAGAGGGAGGAAAGACAGAGAGAGAATGACCGAGGCAGGAGGCCGGTTTCCCTGAGGCCTTCAAGACAGATCACGGAATCATGGACCTGTGGTAGACGAGAGGGGCACAGACTCAAGCTCTGGGAAGAATTCTGGAGCACTGAAGCAGAGCTGGTGAGCTGACATCTGAGCAGGGCCTGGGAGGGAGTAAGCCCACAGCTATCTGGAGAAAGGCTTCCAGGCAGAGGGCACAGATGGTGCCAAAGGCCTGGTGGAGCAGCGACAAGGAGTCCAGAGCAGGTGAGAGAGGGAGGGAGCAGAGGAGTGAGGGGGATGTGGAGGCAGAAGGGCAAGACATCTGGGTGCTGCCAGCCCCTGTGGCTCTTGTCTGAATAGGGTGGTGTCCTGGGGTTTTGACAGAGGAGTGACATGCCCCTCTAGCTCCAAGAAAGCCCCTAGGGCTCTGTGTGGACACCAGCTTATAGTGGACAAGTGTGGCTGTGGCAAGACCTGGGAGGGGGCTCCTGTAGGTGAGACATGGCAGTGCCTTAAAGCACCTCGTGGTGGTGCAGGTGTCTGTAGGGCTGAGAAGACCTAAGCTGCCTGGCTTAGTCCCTTCACCCGACACTGTTCCTTCTGGTCCCAGGCCACCTCCTTTGGAACTGATTTCCAATCCCCCTGGCAGGCTCATCATTCTGTCCTCAGGCTTGAGGGCCTCACTCAAGTGACACTCTTTTTCTTTTTGGTCCCACTGCTTATGTGATAGGGATGTGAATGATGATGCGTCCCTTGGAGCAGTCTGAGGACAAGCAGTGTATCACCTGGAAACTGCTTATAATGCTGGCGGGTACGTGCAAGCCCACCTAGATTTCAGCTATTATTGTAGTTATCTTGTCTCTGAGAGCTGGATGATAAACAAACAGCAGGCAGAGACCTGGCAGAGGCCATGCAGGGGAGGCTGCAGGTCTGTGCATCCATCCCTTCCTCCCTTCCCTGGTGCAGGGCCATTGGCCAGGGGCCTATGACATCTGGCCCAGGAAAAGCAAACACTTTGTTCTGCTTTACTGTGGGAGACAAGGCCTTCCCCAGGGTGCCTGCAACTCCATTCACTTTATGTGTTGCGGGCAGTGGAGGGCTGGGAGGTGACATGTCAGAGGCTGGTGAACCAGGATGTCATGCTCCCAGACCCTGCCCAACAAACTCCCTAAAGGACTCTGGGCAGCATTGGCCTCTCCTGTCTGCCAGAGACTGTGTCCCTCCCACAGTCATGGCAGACTGTAGCCAGCAACTGTTATGAGAATGATTGAAACTCAACTTTAACACGCGCCATATATCATTTCTGAAGATATGTGGCTACTTTTATTGAACAGATGTCTGCAAAGAAGGAGCGGGGTGAGGAGGTGCACTGTGACTTATTGAGCTGGGCTGTGATACCCTCCCGGGGGACACAGAGGGACACTTTACAGCTGCACGTGAGCGTTGGACTTGACCTCTCTCCACTTAAAACTTGAGAATTATGAGTTCTCATATATATTTCCCTGAAAAGTAATATTATTCACATATTTGTTTTTTAAAAGAGGAAATGAAAATCTGAAGCGCATCATAAGGAGTGATGTGCTGGTCTGTGAATGTGAGCTTTTCTAGAAGCAGGTATTTCTGCTTGCACAGAGGCCCAGCAGGGCAGAGAAGGTTCTCTCCTGTAGGCTTAATAATGAGGACTACTGAAAGAAACAACTTTTAGCCTTAAATACTAATTAAAAAACACTCATTTCTAGGCTTGGGTATATTTGTTCAACCCTGAAAATTTAGATAAGTGATTTCCCAGGATCTGAGATCTTCCTGTGTTTTCCGGAAAAGGTCCTAGGACCATAGTGTTTCCTTCTCATTTGCTGGGGAAAGAAAGAGAAAGTAAGAGGGAAAGGAAGGGAAGGAGCAGGGGGTAAAGAAAGAAAGGTTTCTCCATACTTTGCTAAAACATGGTTTACAGAAATATGTTCTTTAAAAGTTTTTCTAGATATTACATTTTGGAGAGCTTCCTATGTACTAGGCAATGTTCTCAGCACTTGACATGATTTAATTTATTTGATTCTTGCAATCATCCTACACAGAGTCATTCTACAGATGAGAAAAGGCACAGAGAAGATAAGTGGCTTGTACAAGGTCAGACACTAGTAAATGGCAGAGCCATTTTTTAGCAGCTTCATGAAAATATAATTCACATACCATACAATCCACCCGTTTAAAGAGTACAATTCAATATATTCAGAGTTGGGTTTTTTTTTTCTTGTTTGGCAGACCCAGGCTGGGTTCGAACCTGCCAGCCTGAGAACATGAGGCTGGCACTCTAACCATTGAGCTATGAGTGCCTTGCTGCCCCCTAAAACTACAGCACCACCTGAAGTCCTGGTAATATTTTGCAATACAAATATATTCCTTCTAAAGTCGGACCCTCTTGCTATATATACACACACATACATACACTTTTATGTGTATATACAATTATATACACATAATTAGTTTTTTATTTTGTTTCTTTTTTTCTTCTTGTTAGTATTTTCTCTTGTTGTTGTTCCTTTGTTTATTTGTTACTGAGGTTGCTTATTTTTGGTCATTTAGAGCTTTTTGATATTTTGTGTTGATGTGTTCTGTTTCTTGCTTATTTGTATGGTTAATTCTTTTCTTAACCTCTATTTTTACTTTCATCAAAAGCAAGAGCTCCTGTCTTTTTGGGTTGCAGTATTTTAGCCTCAATTTATTCTCTCTGCATGCTTCACTCCAGTACATTCTCTCTTTGGACAGAGACTCTTCTACCTTTCTCATCTCTCCCACAATAATCGCCTCTGCGACAGCTAAGCTCTCCCCTCTCTTTTTCTTGTCTTTCTCTTTTCATTCTTTACTCCAATTCCCTCCCTCTCCTCTATTAGATACAACGATATTTTTAATTTCTTTTATCTATTCTTATCTTAATATTATTTCCTTTTGTTTGTTTTCTGAGAACTGAGGGGGCACAGCTTTCATTCTTACCTAATTTTTCTGAGAGCTGAGGGGGATACAGTTTTCATTCTTACTTAATATTTCCTTAGTGTTTTTTGGTTTTGCCCTGTGCTTCCCTTCCTAGTTTTGGCAGAGGAAGAGCCTAGCTCTGTTTAGGCTGGTAAAGATCACCTGATTTTGAGGAACACTCCCAGTCCAGTCCTCTAAAAACCCTTGAGTTACAAGTGTGACTTTAGCAACGTCCTGATCAATACCATTTCTTACCATTACTCCCAGCCTGTCTTCCTGACAATTTTCTCTCCGGTTCTCCAAGTATTTTTTCCTCTTTACTCTTCTGTTATTTCTCCTTCCATTTTTTTCTTTTCTTTTTTCTTTCCTTCTTTCTTTCTCTTTCTTTTACTCTTTCTTTCTTCTCCCCTGTTTCTCCCTGCTGGCTCTTTACCTTTCTCCTCATTATGGCCTCACACCAAGAGGTCTCTTTATCACATAAACTTTGAGACAAGGTAATTTGAAGCAAAGGAGGAACTGACAAGAAAAAACGTGCATAGGGAGGTGAACAAGAAGAAAGCACACATGAGGAGGAACCAACAGAAAAGGTTAGGCACAGTGAAAAACCAAAACAAAGCAACTCTCCCAAGGGACCACACGGCAGCTTTTACAGAAGACTCATCCTATAAAGAATTAATGAATCTGACAGAAATGGAATTTAAAATATGTATAATTAAGATAATAAAGGGAATGGAGGAGAAAATAGAAAGACAGAACCAAAAGTCAGATGAGATATATGTAGAATATAGAAGAATATATGGATGAACGTAAGGAAATGAAGGAGACAGTCAGAAAATGTGAAGAAGCAGTAGAAAATATCAAAAATAGGTTAGACCTTGGAGAAGGAAGAACATCAGAGTTAACATAGATAGTTACAGAGTCAGAAAAGAAGAGAGAGAAAGCAGAGCTGGTGCTTAGAGAACTAGGAGATGCCATGAAGTGTTCAAACATACAGATAATAGGAATCCCTGAAGAGGAAGATTGTCCCAAAGGTATGGAAGCCCTACTGGAGACTATCATAAACAAAAACTACCCAAGTTTTACTAAAGAACTTGACATACTCCATTCAGATGGATAATGAACACGCGGTTACCTCAACTCTAACAGAGCCTCTCTAAGACACATTGTAATGAACCTGTCCAAAGTCAAGATGAAGGAGAAAATTCTGCAAGTAGCTAGTAATAAGTGCCAATTGACCTCCAGAGGCAGAGCCATTAGGATGACAGCATACTTTTCAACTAAAACTTTCTAAGCCAAAAGAGCAAGATTATCCACCTTCAACATCCTTAAACAAAATAATTTTCAGCCCAGAATCCTGTAACCTGCTAAATTTAGCTTCATAATTGATGGAGAAATCTAATCTTTTGCAGATATACAAGTCCTGAAGAAATTTGTCACCAGACCAGCTATACAGGAAATACTTAGACCTATTCTCAATATTGAACACCACAATGGACCACCATCAAAGTAAACACTTAGAAGCCAAAGGCCAGAGCTTAGCTTCTACAATGGTACAAAGGATAAATCTATGCAACAAAGTATCTCATAATAAGATAAATAGAATTCCATCAATAATTCCATTATTGATACTCTCAATAAATGTCAATGGATTGAATTCTCCACTGAAGAGGCATAGGCTGGCTGATGGGATAAAAAACCACAAGCCATTCCTCAGACGAGATCCTTTTAAGCAAGTTCAATTTATTGTATTTACTTGTAAGATTGTCCGTGTTTGATAAGCTTCATTGGCTGATGCACCTGATAGCTTAGTCTCAGTTTGGAATTTGGATCTTGTTTGTATTATTCTACTCAATTAGACAGGCAAAACAAAATGCTTTGCTTAAAGATTCTTGCTACTTATTTTCAGGAAAATATGATAAAAATATATACCTGGGTCAAGGCAAACCATGACCAGTGAAAAATCAGCTCAGAGGGTATGACTCCCACAAGTCGGGTAGGGATTCCTGCTTTGCAC